TTTGTTCTTTTGTTAGTCTATAGTCTATGTGAATATATATATAACTTGGGTTTTCTCTCCACGTTCAAGCAACATGTGGTAGTAATTAATCATGAATTGGTTAGTTAGCTTTCCTCCCCCATCTCCCCCCATCTCTGTGGGTAGGAACTAAAGTTTCACTAATGAGAGAATTGTAAGAATCTTTTTCATACATGTTAAGCTTACAAAATGTATACTGTAATATTTCTTGATTAAGATATTTATATATGATATAACTTTACATTAAGATTACTTTTGGGAGATTATATATATATCAGGGGCGGACTGACCATTTGGAATCTCGGGCACTGCCCGAGGGCCCAGGGTCAGTAGGGGGCCCCATGAGATGCCCCTGGTACCTTTTTCATAGGCTTTTTTGAGTTTGGGCAAGGACACAGGGGCCCCATGATCCCCTATTGCCCGGGGGCCCATGAGTTGTCAGTCCGCCCCTGATATATATATATATATATATATATATAATATATATATATATATATATATATATACAGTGGGGATCGAAAGTTTGGGCACCCCAGCTAAAAATTTGTATTAATGTGCATAAAGAAGCCAAGGAAAGATGGAAAAATATTCAAAAGGCATCAAATTACAGATTAGACATTCTTATAATATGTCAACAAAAGTTAGATTTTATTTCCATCATTTACACTTTCAAAATAACAGAAAACAAAAAAATGGCGTCTGCAAAAGCTTGGGCACCATGCAGAATTTATAGCATGCTCTGCCCCCTTTGCCAAGCTGAGACCTGCCAGTGTCATGGATTGTTCTCAATCATCGTCTGGGAAGACCAGGTGATGTCAATCTCAAAGGTTTTAAATGCCCAGACTCATCTGACCTTGCCCCAACAATCAGCACCATGGGTTCTTCTAAGCAGTTGTCTAGAAAACTGAAACTGAAAATAGTTGACGCTCACAAAGCTGGAGAAGGCTATAAGAAGATAGCAAAGCGTTTTCAGATGTCAATATCCTCTGTTCGGAATGTAATTAAGAAATGGCAGTCATCAGGAACAGTGGAAGTTAAAGCAACATCTGGAAGACCAAGAAAAATATCAGACAGAACAGCTCACAGGATTGTGAGAAAAACAATTCAAAACCCATGTTTGACTGCACGATCCCTCCAGAAAGATCCGGCAGACACTGGAGTTGTGGTCACTATTCCACTATAAAGAGATACTTGTACAAATATGGTCTTCATGGAAGAGTCATCAGAAGAAAACCTCTTCTACGTCCTCACCACAAAAATCATCGTTTGAACTTTGCAAATGAACATATAGACAAGCCTGATGCATTTTGGAAACAAGTTCTGTGGACCGATGAGGTTAAAATTGAACTTTTTGGCCAGAATGAGCAAAGGTACGTTTGGAGAAGAAGGGGCACAGATTTTAATGAAAAGAACCTCTGTCCAACTGTGAAGCATGGGGTTGGATCAATCATGCTTTGGGGTTGTGTTGCAGCCAGTGGCACAGGGAACATCTCACGAGTAGAAGGAAAAATGGATTCAATAAAATTTCAGCAAATTTTGGATGGTAACTTGATGCCATCTGTGAAAAAGCTGAAGTTAAAGAGAGGATGTCTTCTACAAATGGATAATGATCCTAAACACACCTCAAAATCCACGGGGGATTACATCAAGAGGCGTAAACTGAAGGTTTTGCCATGGCCTTCACAATCTCCTGACCTCAACATCATTGAAAATCTATGGATAGACCTTAAAAGAGCCGTGCGTGACAGACAGCCCAGAAATCTCAAAGAACTGGAAGACTTCTGTAAGGAAGAATGGGCAAAGATACCTCAAACAAGAATTGAAAGACTCTTGGCTGGCTACAAAAAGCGTTTACAAGCTGTGATACTTGCCAAAGGGGGCAGTACAAGATATTAACTCTGCAGGGGGCCCAAACTTCTGCAGACGCCATTTTTTTGTTTTCTGTTATTTTTGAAAGTGTAAATGATGGAAATAAAATCTAACTTTTGTTGACATATTATAAGAATGTCTAGATTTTTCCATCTTTCCTTGGCTTCTTTATGCACATTAATACAAATTTTTAGCTGGGGTGCCCAAACTTTCCATCCCCACTGTATATATACATATATATATACAGTGTAGCTCGGGGTAAAGTTTCAGCACCACAAGCGGTAACCCCCCCTCCCCGAGCTACACTCGGGAATACACTGCAGCGTTGCTCCGGGATCACTTCTTCACTTCCCTTGTCCCTCCTGCAGTGTCCCCGGCAATGTCCTCCGGCCGATGCCGGCATCTGTCTTCCGGGTTCCGTTCCCTGTGACGTCGGGACGTACGGGGGGCGGAACTGGCGGGAAATTTAAAAATGTGAAAAAGTGACATTCACTAAATCCACTAAAATCACATAGTATAACATTCTGTATCAAACCATTTCACATACATTTTGTCCCGAGTGCTTTGTCCGGCGCCCTGCCTGCATTTTTACTGTTCTTTCTGCCTGGAAACTGAGAAACGTCCATGGCGTCCAAAAAGCGTCCCTTTATGTCAGACACGGTTTTAGACCGGCTAGAGAACAGCGATAGTAAATCAGAACCACTTGCAGAATTGAGTGATAATGATTGGTGGGGGAAATTCCTCAACAGACACTGAAAACGATTCTGCGACTTTGCTCAGCGATGTGTGAACTTGGCGCTATATTTCACATTTCAGTGTTTTTGGTTTGATTATATTATTGAATTAAATGTATTATTATATTATTATTATTTTTTATGATTATTAAATTATAATTTATGATTTCGTGTTTCAAATTTTATCACACCCGGGATGTTTTACTAGACTCTTGTTCGGACAGATTTCAGTGAGTTATTCCTAAAAATTACAGGCCGACAATAAAAAAAACGACATATTTCCATGCAAAAAAATGTACCGCTTTGAGCACAGAAATACTGACATCATCAGACCGCTAAGGAGGTTACGGTAGAAAAATCTAGGTTTTCCTTTAAGAAATTGAGCAAACAAGTTAGAAATGTAATGAACAGGGGCGGACTGACCATTTGGAAACTCGGGCACTGCCCGAGGGCCCGGGGTCAGTAGGGGGCCCCATAAGATGCCCCTGGTACCTTTTTCATAGGCTTTTTTGAGTTTGGGCAAGGACACAGGGGCCCCATGATCCCCTATTGCCTGGGGGCCCCATGAGTTGTCAGTCCGCCCCTGCTAATGAAGTTAGTTAATGTTTTTAACGCCATGATTTTTGAGGTTCCTAGGAATGCTGCTTGTGTAATGAAGTCGGAGCAAGATAACAGTGTATGTGCTAATTGCCAGACTTTGACAGAGCAAATAGTTCACCTGCAAAGTTCAATTCAAACAAAAGATATTCAGCTATCTGAACTACCGAATGATATAAAAATAATTTGTGGAAATACGAAGGTAGAGAGACGAAAATCTTTTGTACCAGACATCCAGTTTATAGAAGATGATCTGCATGATCATGAAGCAATGCTAAAGAGAAAATTAATGGATAAAGCGGCAGAACTTAATCTTAAGATCCTTGATCAGCTCATGAAAATTTTGAAGGATATGCCAGCCTATGATATGAAAGCGGATGCATTTCATAATTCAGAGGTTTTGAAATTTTGTGCAATAACTTTTGCCTGAATGAGGAACAAAGAAATTTTCTCTTCAGATTTTGGGTACCCAACTTTATGACACGTTGATTAACCAAGACGCCATATATTAATGAGGATGATGTGGAAGTTCATAGCAATGCATCAGACCGATTGCGTCAGTTGTTGTTATGCACTACTGGAGAGGAAACACCTAGTATGGAAATCTTAGACTCCTTAAGAACTACTATTAGTGATGATCCTTTTGATTTTAGAATTCAATTTTCTAAAGCATACAGGATAATATTTAACCGCTTCCATACGGGCACTTTTACCCCCTTCCCTCCCAGGCCAATTTTCAGGTTTCAGCGCTCTCATACTTTGAATGACAATTGCGCGGTCATACAACATTGTACCCAAACTAAAATTTTATCACACAACTAGAGCTTTCTTTCGGTGGTATTTAATCACCGCTGGGGTTTTTATTTTTTGCTAAATTAACAAAAAAAGACCACAAATTTTTAAAAAAAACACTTTTTTCTTTGTTTCTGTTCTGTTCTTTGTTTATTTATTTTGCAAATAAATAATTGTTCTTAATAAATTTAGGCCGAGATGTATTCTGCTACATGTCTTTGGTGAAAATAACCCAAATTAGAATGTATTATTTAGTCTGTAGGAAAGTTATAGAGTTCACAAACTATGGTATAGATCTGAATATTGATCAATCCTGAAGTACTGACAGCCAATCTAATTTCTTGAGGTCCAAGAATGTCAGAACAGTACAGATATCCCCCAAATGTCAGGACGGTACAGATATCCCCCAAATGTCAGGACGGTACAGATATCCCCCAAATGTCAGGACGGTACAGATATCCCCCAAATGTCAGAACGGTACAGATATCCCCCAAATGTCAGAACGGGACAGATATCCCCCAAATGTCAGGACGGTACAGATATCCCCCAAATGTCAGGACGGTACAGATATCCCCCAAATGTCAGGACGGTACAGATATCCCCCAAATGTCAGGACGGTACAGATATCCCCCAAATGTCAGGACGGTACAGATATCCCCCAAATGTCAGGACGGTACAGATATCCCCCAAATGTCAGGACGGTACAGATATCCCCCAAATGTCAGGACGGTACAGATATCCTCCAAATGTCAGGACGGTACAGATATCCCCCAAATGTCAGGACAGTACAGATATCCCCAAAATGTCAGAACAGTACAGATATCCCCCAAATGTCAGAACGGTACAGATATCCCCCAAATGTCAGGACGGTACAGATATCCCCCAAATGTCAGGACGGGACAGATATCCCCCAAATGTCAGGACGGGACAGATATCCCCCAAATGTCAGGACGGTACAGATATCCCCCAAATGTCAGAACAGTACAGATATCCCCCAAATGTCAGGAGAGTACAGATATCCCCCAAATGTCAGGACAGTACAGATATCCCCCAAATGTCAGAACAGTACAGATATCCCCCAAATGTCAGGACAGTACAGATATCCCCCAAATGTCAGAACAGGACAGATATCCCCCAAATGTCAGAACAGTACAGATATCCCCCAAATGTCAGGACAGCACAGATATCTCCCAAATGTCAGGACAGTACAGATATCCCCCAAATGTCAGAACAGGACAGATATCCCCCAAATGTCAGGACGGTACAGATATCCCCCAAATGTCAGGACGGTACAGATATCCCCCAAATGTCAGGACAGTACAGATATCCCCCAAATGTCAGAACGGTACAGATATCCCCCAAATGTCAGAACGGGACAGATATCCCCCAAATGTCAGGACGGTACAGATATCCCCCAAATGTCAGGACGGTACAGATATCCCCCAAATGTCAGGACGGTACAGATATCCTCCAAATGTCAGGACGGTACAGATATCCCCCAAATGTCAGGACGGTACAGATATCCCCCAAATGTCAGGACGGTACAGATATCCCCCAAATGTCAGGACGGTACAGATATCCCCCAAATGTCAGGACGGTACAGATATCCTCCAAATGTCAGGACGGTACAGATATCCCCCAAATGTCAGGACAGTACAGATATCCCCAAAATGTCAGAACAGTACAGATATCCCCCAAATGTCAGAACGGTACAGATATCCCCCAAATGTCAGGACGGGACAGATATCCCCCAAATGTCAGGACGGGACAGATATCCCCCAAATGTCAGGACGGGACAGATATCCCCCAAATGTCAGGACAGGTACAGATATCCCCCAAATGTCAGAACAGTACAGATATCCCCCAAATGTCAGGAGAGTACAGATATCCCCCAAATGTCAGGACAGTACAGATATCCCCCAAATGTCAGAACAGTACAGATATCCCCCAAATGTCAGGACAGTACAGATATCCCCCAAATGTCAGAACAGTACAGATATCCCCCAAATGTCAGGAGAGTACAGATATCCCCCAAATGTCAGGACAGTACAGATATCCCCCAAATGTCAGAACAGTACAGATATCCCCCAAATGTCAGGACAGCACAGATATCTCCCAAATGTCAGGACAGTACAGATATCCCCTAAATGTCAGAACAGGACAGATATCCCCCAAATGTCAGGACGGTACAGATACCCCCCAAATGTCAGAACAGGACAGATATCCCCCAAATGTCAGAACAGGACAGATATCCCCCAAATGTCAGGACAGTACAGATATCCCCCAAATGTCAGGACAGTACAGATATCCCCCAAATGTCAGGACAGGACAGATATCCTCCAAATGTCAGGACAGGACAGATATCCCCCAAATGTCAGGACGGTACAGATATCCCCCAAATGTCAGGACAGGACAGATATCCCCCAAATGTCAGAACAGTACAGATATCCCCCAAATGTCAGAACAGTACAGATATCCCCCAAATGTCAGGACAGTACAGATATCCCCCAAATGTCAGGACAGTACAGATATCCCCCCAAATGTCAGGACAGTACAGATATCCACCAAATGTCAGGACGGTACAGATATCCCCCTAATGTCAGAACAGGACAGATATCCCCCCAAATGTCAGAACAGGACGGATATCCCCCAAATGTCAGAACAGTACGGATATCCCCCAAATGTCAGAACAGTACAGATATCCCCCAAATGTCAGAACAGTACAGATATCCCCCAAATGCCAGGACAGTACAGATATCCCCCAAATGTCAGGACAGTACAGATATCCCCCAAATGTCAGGACGGTACAGATATCCCCCAAATGTCAGGACAAGACAGATATCTCCCAAATGTCAGGACAGTACAGATATCCCCCCAAATGTCAGGACAGGACAGATATCCCCAAATGTCAGCACAGTACAGATCTCCCCCAAATGTCAGGAAAGTACAGATCTCCCCCAAATGTCAGGACAGTACAGATCTCCCCCAAATGTCAGGACAGTACAGATATCCCCCCAAATGTCAGAACAGTGCAGATATCCCCCAAATGTCAGGACAGGACAGATATCCCCCAAATTACCCCTTTTTGCAAAGTAGACAGTCCGACGTATTTCTTTTTTTTTTTTTTCTTCCAAAAATATTTTATTAAAGAATAAGGCATAGCAAAGCAAATACAACTACGGATCGCAGTCCGAGAACAGACACAATAAATGGCTTCCCGTATCGCAGACGGGTCAGACATGTAGATTACAATGCAATCCTAGCGTAACAATGCAGCAAGACAGGCGTATATTACATATCTGCAGATATGAAGAGTTTACTAGACGAGGTAATGTACATAGTAAAGGGAACTGACCCATGTCATAATGAGCTTCTATGATGGGGGGGTACGAAGTGTCGGGTAAGGGTAGCTTTGAAAAGGTTGTGTGTTCTGTATTGTGTATCCGGATTAGAGAATGTGTGTTACCTGGAGATATCTGCGTCTGTAAAGAAGTAACTGCTATATTCTGTTGAGGCAATGTGGATGATGTGAGTATTTACTAAAGGAAGAATGAAGCTTAGAGAAAGGAATGTGAAGTGGTGTAATTGGAGGGGGGGGGGGGGGGGGGGTGGAGGGAAAAACAAAACAAAACAAAAAAAACAATAATAATAAATTTGGGGGAAGGAGAAGAAGCAATGGAAGGACAGACAAGTGCGGTTAAATGGATCATATTCTTATGTAGGAGCCGAGCCGGTAAAGTCATCATTTAGTTTAGCAGATGATATGCATATGGACACTCAATAGGACAAGATATATTTCAAAAACTCCAATGCCCGTTATGCAACAAGTTTTCAACCCATCTAATTGTAAATCTAAAATCTCCTTAACCTCCCTGGCGGTATGATTATTTCAGATTTTTGGTGCTGAAAGCGGTACCATTATTTTGCATGGAAATATGTATTTTTTTTTTTTTTGTAGGCTGTAATATTTAGGAATAACTCACTGAAATCTGTCCGGACAAGAGTCTAGTAAACATCCCGGGGATGATAAAACTTGAAACACAAAATCATAAATTATAATATAATAAATAATCATAAAAAATAATAATATAATAATAATAATAAATTTAATTCAATAATATAATCAAACCGAAAACACTGAAATGTGAAATATAGCGCCAAGTTCGCACATCGCTGAGCTCAGTCGCAGAATCGTTTTCAGTGTCTGATGAGGAATTTCCCCCACCAATCATTATCACTCAATTCTGCAAGTGGTTCTGATTTACTATCGCTGTTCTCTAGCCGGTCTAAAACCGCGTCTGACCTAAAGGGACGCTTTTTGGACGCCATGGACTTTTCTAAGTTTCCAGGCAGAAAGAACAATCAAAATGCAGACAGGGGACAGGACAAAGCACTCGGGACAAAATGTATGTGAAATGGGTTGAAACAGCTATGTAAAATCGTTTTGAAAAAAATGACATTTTTTTTTTAATTTTCAAATTTCCTGCCGCCGGCGGCGCCCGTACGTCCCGACGTCACAGGGACCGGAACACGGAAGCCGGATGCCGGCATCGGCCGGAGGAGATGGCCGGGGACGCTGCAGGGGACACATCGTGGGAGCGAAGGACAAGGTAAGCCCTGAAGGGACTCCCTGAGCAGCGCCGCATGGTAAGCCCGAGTGTAGCTCGGGGGGGGTTACCGCTTTTGGTACTGACATTTTACCCCGAGCTACACTCGGGAATACCGCTAAGGAGGTTAATGAACTGGGCATTCTCTGAAACATCATTATGTATAACCATTCAGTCTGGGGGTCTAGATTGGTCATGTAGTGCTGTGTGGTAGGTATTGGTGGTTTTGAAGTGACTCCAAAATCCCCATGTTTTCCTGAATCTCTCGGGGCGTTCCTGCGACACAGAAATCAGTTCCACCATTTCCTCAATTTTGTTGATCCTGGTAAACCATTCTCGAATAGTAGGGACATGTGTGGAGCGCCAATGTACTGGGATACACTGTTTTGCTGCGTTCACCATATACAGGGCCAACGATTTACGGTACGTCTTAAAAGGGAGTGAGGAGTGGTGGGGCAGGAATTGTGCGGGAGAGAGAGGTCTAGAGCGTACGTAGTCACTTGCGTAATTATGGTTTGAACTATCCTCCAGAAGGGTTGTAGCAAAGAGCAGTCCCACCATACATGTAAGAGTGTCCCTATCTCCTGGTGACATCTCCAACACAAATCCGAGACATTAGGATCGAATTTGTGAAGCAGGGAAGGTACTCTGTACCATCTGGAGTACAGTTTAAATTTGTTTTCCTGTGTGGAGACGCAGATGGAACCTTTGTGTATATGTTCATAAATGTGCGACGTATTTCATAACAGGCATGGCGAGTTTTTTGAAGTTCTAATTTTTTTGTTATTTTTCGGAAATTAAGAAATAAAAAAAATAATTTTCACAATTTTTTTTTTTTTTTTTTTTTTTTTTTTACATACAGTCACCAGTGCAGTACAGAATCATCATATAAAACCAAAAGTATATATCCCCAAAAAAAAAAAAAGAAAAAAACTATATGATTATGCAGCTGTGCACCAGTGAAAAACACCAATCATAAACAACGCAAAAACAGCACAAAATCTAAAATTAAACTAACACAAATAAATAAACACTAAATTCATAATAAGTGTCCGTGAAAAAAAAAAAATTATATATATATATATATATATCCTTATTCCCATCAAAACCAATAAAAAAAAATCAAAAATATTCCAAATGTGCTTCCACCTTTCCACCACGTGAGAAATAATGTTGACCGCACTCACCAGATGGAGGTGAGTAGTAAGCCTTATAGGATATAAGGGATCCTATAACCCCTCCAAAGGAACTCAAATCTCCTTCTTCACCCTGCTATGGTATAGCAATCATCTCCACTCTATTCCTCAATAGTGTGCAGAGAAAAAAAAAACTACATAGTTGTCAGGGCTCCGGGTATGACCAGAGGTGTGTGGACTGACACAGGGAAACGCAGACTTCAGATATGGTATAAACAATATGATTTATTAAGACTAACAATACAAAACGCAGTGCAAAACTAAACATAAACACAGTGCAAACAAACCAAACCACCTACAGATAACAATACATGCAATGCAAGAGTCATCAGGCAGGCCGGGTCAGTAGCAAATGGGCAAACGGAGTACCAGGAACAGGCGGGAGAGTGGTCGGGGTCACAAGCTGGGTTCAGTAACTCACGGGCAGCGCGGTGCAGAGGGTCAGGCAGAGAATGGTCAGGGTCACAAGCCAGGGATCAAACAGGAGAAGTCAGCAGAGGTCAGGATCAGGCAGGGTCGGCAACAAGTCAGGCAGGAACAGGAACACAGGATACAAGATACAGGGGCCCATGGAAAAACACACACCAAGGCCCTGACTGTGAGTCTGGCCATTCCTTAAATACAACCCCTGCAATCAGCTTCAGGTGTTTGGCTGACTGCAGGGGTGAGTCTCTGATTGCTGAGAGCACCCGCTGGCCAGCCCTGGTACTGCAGCCCACAAGGCAGGTGAGTCCCACCATTACTGGCAAGTCCATTCCTGACAATAGTGTAATCCTGCCACTCCATATAGAATATAAAGATAGAATAAGGCCACTCACATGTTTAAATAAAATTAAAAGCCTTGTTTAATAGCCTCAATGGCTTCAAGATAATCAATTTCCAGAATGTAGATATAGGGATCTCACGCTTCTATAGTCACTGCAGAGGATGAACAGCCTTCCACCTCCAAGATGACCGCTTGAACCGCATAAGCCGACGTGTGTTCCAAACACCGGAAGTGACGTTAACCAGAAAGACGGCGGACCGGAAGTGCGTCAACGCGTTTCGCCCCACCCACAGGGCGTTCTCAAGAATCAT